TATACAAATATATATGTGTGTGTGTGTGGGTGTATATACGTACGTATACATATAATATGTATGATAGTGTCAAAAACTCTAAGAAAGAATTGTTTTATATCATATTCAATCTTGCAGATTTTGGTTGGAAAAAATGTTTTTTTATATATTTAAAATCCCAATCGTAGCCTTTTAAATCTAACATCAATCACTAGGAAAAACGGCCCAAATCATTTGCATGTTCTTGTAAATATTCCTGTTGCAGGGCCACTCGGTCTCGTACGGGTATCTGTAATTATCCGTATTGGCTATTCCAATTTCATAGATAAACGAAAGGTACACTGCAGAGCTTCACAATTATGTCCATCTTCACTGGAGATTTCGAGAAAAGAAATGTTGTGGATCATAGAAGTTTCGTTTCTTGACTTGTATCAGATATTTGGTGACTGCCGTTGCCCACGGTTTATCTCGAGGTCTGAATTGTAACGGTTCCGCACTGCACTGAAGTAATTGCTTGAGTTGTATTACATACTTGGTCACTGTCATTACCCACGATGTATCTCAACGTCTGAATTATGGCGGTGTCCGCACTGAACTGTAGTATTGTTTGAGTTGTACTCCATACTAGATCACTGTCGTTACCCACGATGGTCTGAATTATGTCGGGTCCGCACTGCACTGTAGATTGGTTTGTGTTCTATTATATAAATACTAGGTTACTGTCGTTACCCACCATGTATCTCGAGGTCTGAACTATGACGGGTCCGCAATACACTGAAGCGATATGTGTAGCCGCATGCTTTTTACCCCGCCTACATATGAACCGAGCATACTCGTCAGATGAAAATCAAGAGTCGGCCGAAGATTCGACTTGACAGTCGATGATATTTTACGCTGAAGCGCTGTGACGCCGTCCCACACACCGCTTGAATAAACGATTGACACGTTTGAGACTACCACGAGCTTGTTGGGAATTTATAGGTTCTTTGACGAGGCACGCGTCTGAAAGAAGCGGCTTCGAAATATCACCAGTGCGCAGGCTCTCCGCACTTCGATCCACTTCGTGAGTTTCGCAATCAATACTGTGTCCATATTTTGATTCTCGAACCTGTTGTTGTATATTTGTTGGTACGAAAGTGTAGCTAAAATATGTGTTGCTGCTCAGCTTGTGTGCCATCTCGCTGTTGGCGTCGGTTGCATTGATGACCCGTGATATAGGCCGATCTGCATCAATTGTAACTGTTGACATAGGGTTGCCTAGTTTGACGGCGAAGTTCATATGGTTTGCGATGTTAGTTTGCATATCGTTTTCGAACATTGTGTACGAACTTTCAATTTGTTGTGAAGCGCATCTAGGGGAACGCGCGCTCTATATACCCAATGACTATTACTTTTAAGTGCATGAAAAAATAAATACACAAGTTCAAGACTTCAAAAGTTCAGAAGTTCAAAGCGAAAATAAATAAAATCATTGCCAGATAGCCTTCTGAATCATAAATACAAGGCTATTTATGTATTTATGTTTATATTGGTTTCTGAATATTCTTTTTTAATAAAATAAAATAAATGAAATCTCTAGCCTTCGAGACTGCGAGACCGAGTTCTTGTTTTATTAAAACGAGGAAAAAAAAACCTATATTCGACAGTATTTACTTACATAAATAAATAGCCTCGGTACATACGAAATACATAAATATGAATAAAAATAAATGAAAGACTCAAAAATTGAAAAAGTTGAAACAAAATTGATATTAATTGTTTTTTAAAACAAAAACGAAAAATACCTTTACGGTTTCTAGGCTTCAAGGAATAGAGGCTCGAGCGCAATACATATGTATTCTAAATTTTTTTAAAGATGGTCAGACCTTTTTTTATTAAAAATATATTCGACAATAAGGCGTTTCGTTTTCATTTGTTTTGTTCAAAACAAATGATCTAAATATTTTGCATATTTTTTGTTTGTTTTGTTTATTTTGTTTAAAAAAATAACAAACCAAACAAAAATATTTTTATTTATTCGCCGCGAGGCGTAGACTCCTCGGTGGGCGGCCTTGGCCCAGACCGTAGCCCGTAGGTCGTAAGCCCGAAGACCGCAGACCGTAGACCGTTTAAAAGTTGACACTTATGACTTGACACCAGATTACATTTATTTGGCCTCAAACCCGGTTTATATATTTTTATTAAATAACGACAAGGACATAACATCTTATGTTTAATATTTATGTATGTATTTATTTACCAAACTAATTCACGATCCGTCGTGGTAAATATGTTTTCTGAGGTAAAAAATATTAGGCTCCTGACTGTATTATATTTATTTTTTATAAACAATGGACATGTAGAGTGGCAATCTAGTTTCCGACTGCCTGTAAGGCTGTATTTATTGTCCCGTCGTTAACTCGCTGTAACGGTTCATGCTGTCGTATACCAGAGGCCAGGCAATGCCATTGCCACCTGCCTGTGCTGCCACCTTCAATAGACAGACTTTGACACTGTGACTGATTGTCGCACTGTCCGTCGGTCACTTGAGACTTTGAGAGTTGAGACTATTAGGCTACCAGTAATCAGCCTCCACTGTCCAGTTTGAAACAGCAATGCTATTTATAATATATAAAAACTGTGTCTATATCAAAACTTCAGAAGCCTATTATGTACATATGCTAAATAAATAAATATTTCATGACCGTGTGACAGACAGACTTTGACCCTGTGACTGAGAGTCGCACTGTCCGTCGGTCACTTGAGACTTGAGAGTTGAGACTATCAGGCTACCAGTAATCAGCCTCCACTGTGAAGTTTGAAGCAGCAATGCTATTTATATATAAAAAACTGTTTCTAAATCAGAACTTCAGAAGCCTGCTATTTATGTACATATGTATGCCAAAAAAATATATTTGATACTGCCACTCTAGGCCGTTGGCGGCTATGTGGTGTGACTGTGTGACTGTGTGTACTATTATTTTTAAAAGTGTGAATATGTAGTTTTTTGTGTACACATGTACCTTGTACTGTATTTTTGTACTGTGTATGTACCGTGGTCTGTGGTCTGTGGTCTGTGAGCAGGTGAGAACTGAGAACTGACATGATAACTGTGATATGAATTCGCCATGTTATCTTATTTTTATAAATAGTAAAAGAGTCTAAATAAATACACAACGCTATTCTCAGATTTCTATTGACTATGTACAGTTGTACACTGTAAATATACAATATGTATGTTATTTTCTTTACCATTTTGAATATTTTTAGTTAAATATTTACATACTTCAACTTGTGAGCCTTTTAAAGAGTATAAAGCTAAGGAATTGGATCTAAAATTGTAAACAAGAAAAAGCTTCATGAAAATGAGTAAAAGTCTCTTGTCACAAGAGAAGATAACGACCGACGAGAATTTTGGAAATATTTTATTCTTACACTAATTTTGGTTTCCACCATGTCAAATTGGTTTTATATTTATATATTGTCGCATACTACATATAATTTATAGAAGGTTCCAGACGGGTTTTGAGTTTTGTCGCGTGTACAAATTACGACACGTTGGTTTGATTTTTGACATGTCGACATGTATAATATTCAAAAGTATTAGACATTCTCAAAGCCTGTTTTGATTTTTCACTCATTGTTTGTTCATTCATATTTCATATGTATGCAGAACTACATTTTTTATTTACTCTCGCATTTTAGATGTTCCTATCAAAATTACACATGTCAGTTGTGAGTTAACACTATGACTATTCACTCTATTGTACTCTGTTTTCGGTTAAATGCTAAATAGATACAATACTTTATGGCTTTTTATTCTTATTTATCATCCAATAAGAACGATCAATTTTGTTGTACTAAATACCCTTTCGTCACAACTGTTCAACTAAATATTTGTGTATTTGTTTGTTCAACACTCACGTCTCACACAGTCGCACAGTGTCAGAGTTCAGACTTCAGACTCACACTCACAGACCAGTCACAGTCTCACAGACTCACAGTCACAGTCTCACAGACGCAGTCTCACACTCACACTTTCCCACTCTCCCACTCTCACAGTGTCTGTGTTATTTTTAAAAAATAATAAATATTCACTTCTTGCCTCTCTGTCTCACTCACTACTCACTACTATTTACTAAAATAAATAGTTGCGGCAGGCCGGCAGCTCCTCGGGTCTCGGAGGGGAGGAGGCGGCGGCTCGGCCGTTCGGGGGCTGCTAATTGCTATTGAGCGTGGCTCTGCGCAGTGTGCTCTGTTTTGCAGAGTGCAGAGTGCAGTTGTTCACGTCACTCAATGCTCTCTAACTACTACTAGAGAGAGGGAGAAAGCTGACTGTAAATACTGAGTGTAAAACTTTAAGTGTAAACTGTAAAATATGTAGTGCATTTATATTTTTATATGGTGCATCTCTTCCTCTAAATAACTACAGTTAAAATTCCTTCGACACGAAACTGGCTTTCCATTGGCTCTCCATGAGCCTGTTGAAAATCACGACGTAGCGGCCCACTCTAGCTAGCGGGTTCATCCGCAATTCCGCATGATATTTACACTGATATATTTAACGTCACTATTGAACACAGAATGACGCCATCCAATCAAACATATCTGTGTGCATTTATTAAAAAAAGACGTGAATCTGCTTTCATAAACGCAGAACAACTTGCATTTGTATCAGGCTTCAGTCTCCAAATGCCATTCACTTTTTATAAATAGGTGGACAATTAATGTCGGACGCGATCATTCTCCTACTAGTATTGATTTCCTTTATTTTATAATAATAAAAATTAGTTGGCAATAGCCAATATTTGTAAGTGATTACGCGGTTGTGGGCGTGGTTGGTTTGCACTAGAAGTATTTGGTTCATAAATGAACACATGATAAGAATGTGTGTGTTTCACAATTTGTCATTGATTTATTCTGTACTGTAAAGTGTGTAATCCCATTCAATTAGCCTGCAATATCCAACAGGACTTGTCGGCCAAAATGTGAAATGTACAGATTGCGACTTGACGGGAGTGGTTATTGCAGATACGAAAAGCAGCAAGGGTATGCTGGGAGAAAAATATAAAATTGAATATTTATTTCGGTTTTGCTTTTGAAAACATTGTTATGATCATCTATTTAATCTCCGAAGCATGGTCTTAAAGCGTATATGGAAACACATTGTCCTCAGCTGTGAGCGAATAGGTGCTACGTACTTTCACACCTGTAGCATTAAACCTCTCTTCTTCTTTACATGGCTATATCGGAGGTAAACTTTCACTCGTGTCTTACCGTTTGCGAATTGCTCGATTTATAAACAAGTTCTTTTTTTTGTTTAACCACTTCCAGTACGACATTTCCTATTGATCAGTTTTATATGGTTACTCCAACTGTATCATGAGCAGCATTATGTGCATGATGTGCCAGTGTGCATATACCCTTCTGATCTGCGTGGTCCAACTGCGCGGCATATTTCATTACTTTCAGTACTATAATACCCATGTTGATAACCATGCCATTGTACACATCGTCAGCCTGTTCTTGACATGCATTCAACAAGACTGGGCCCGGCTGCGCCCATTCTTTTGCATATTTGAGGGGTGCAAACTCCAGAGGACTCAACCCTAGACTTTGAGATATGTGAGATTTTCCCTCATGAATTTGAGACATACTGTTGCACTTCAGTGGTGCACCATATGTATGTGTGCATTGCCTCGTCAATGGCTGCGTGTTCGAAAGCTTTGAAATGATACATCGTATATTTTCTACTTTCTGCCGTAGTTCAAAGTTCTGCGTATTATGCTCATGGGCGCATGGTGCACAGCAACGTATCAATGAGCTTTTGGGCGACTTAGTCATTCCTCGCCTGGTTCCGTCATTGGATTGACTATCCTGGTTGGATTTGCCTATTCGAATGCTCCCTTTTTTCTGATTATTTTCCGGTACCCGAGCAAACTGCTTCGCGACAAGTATAAGTGTAGAATACACCTCCTCGCCCAGTTCACAGTACAGTCTTGCTCTTTCTTGCGTTGGTGGCGTGGGTATTGGCTCAGAACTGACTTGCTCTTCCGTCGTGATTGCATGTGTCACTAATCGACGTAATTTTCGAACCATGAACTGATTGAAAATCGCAACGAATATACCAGAACGTCAGTCAATGTCGAGTTTTGTTTACTACCTGTTTTGGAAGCAACAGCCACCGGAAAAGAATGGACTTTAGCTCTACATACCGAATAGTAATCTTCTTCAGCATAATTCGTGCTGAAACAGGCTGCGAGTAGCTTCACAAATTCTAAACTGGCGAAACTGAGTGTGCTCTAATATCCACTATCGCTTGCATTGCAGCTTTGTACGACCTGTTTTGAGAGTTAATCGGTATTGCTATTGAATGGCGAGCCATGCGTCCTGAGCAGAAGCGAAGGACATTAATATTCATTTCAAAACTTATAACAGCGCACGTGGTCGCTGCGTCTGAGTATGTATTTCATTAAAACGTACTTGTGTACGGCGTCCATTTCTCCAATCTTAAGATCAGGTTCAGAGACAAGCATTAATTTCCCCTTCGCTCTTTTGTGCGATATATCATGCACCAAGCCAGCTTCAATTTTAATCACACACAGTTTTGTTGTGTGCAGACTCTACAGTTCGCACCGGCAGAAAAAACATCACGCATAACACCGATAGCGCACTACCAATAACTATTAGGCCCGTACGCCAAGCTCCGATTCGCCATCGCTCATCGCCTTCGATGTAGAAGGTGCTAAGGGCAACTAGACCAAACGTATGGAGAAACTGCAAAATTTCGATGTCCAGCAGAAACATTCAGGTGAGATATGCATATTGTCAAAATTCAAAAAATAAACTCTTGCAATCCCGCGTACCAGATTTGTTCACTCACTCACTAACATACCAGAACATACGCGTAGGTGTATGTACCCACTACGGTTGGATACTTTGCCATGTAGAATCACACGATGAATCCATACGTGGAAATGCATATTGCCACGAAATATGGACCTCTCTGTTCCATTAATTCACTCAGTTCTACGACAGCTGTTCCGAGCACACAACCGGAATTCGTCCCGATAATTCTATCGATTCTGCAGATTGACAAGTATATGCTAGCAGGGGAGGGGGGCGAAGATCATCAGATATAGGATACTGAAGAAGAAAAAATTAAGTTCACAGGACGTGATTTCAATTACAGTATCCTTTTTTTTAGTTGTCTTTTTAGTTACTTCGGATGTTGGAATCGAGAGCTTAAAATTTTCATAAATGGCTTGTCTGCTACGTACACTTGCAACACCAGAACCTGATGTCATGGCAGCACCACCAACGACCACCGCAGTAGTGTATACCCATGTTAAATCGTCCCCGGTGGGCCCGTAAGGTATATTGTGCAATGAGAGAAAGAAGACAAACAGGGATGCTACCAGAAATAGCAAACTCGAACGGAATGCAAATTTCAGCGGAATTCGATTGTAGTATATCCATGCTCGGACAAATAAAAGCCCGTTGTGTGGCATGTCTATTTACTTTTACTCTTGGGCACGTTCAAAACACCTGTGTAAAGTTTTGCTTTTGTTTTTATTGAGGTGTTTCGGTGTAGAAACAGAGAATTTATACTGCCTAGTGTAAAGGACTGTACATACAACACTTTGGTACTAGATTACTGAGGAATTCCCATTTAGCAAGTGCAAAGAATTTTCTATTTGTATTATAAATAGTCTATGTGTGCGAGACTGTTTCTACGAGGTGTAATAATATTTTACAACATTGAACAACTATTTTTTTAAATTCTGTACTGATATATGTTGAGATTGTATTCTGTGAAATACAGATTAGTGCTACGTGTGACACAGTGGACAAAGAGTCAGTCGTGAGATGCGAGTTTTGATTCACGGCTGCCCTCTGGATTTGGGTCTCGACTTTCGACTCTCGAGCAGAAATCAGGTTCCCGTTTCTTCAATCTTCTGACGACATCGTGAATATGTATTTTTCTTTAAAATTTATTGCAGACCCAAATGAAATCCTGAAATCCAGGAGGCAGGGGCCCCCACTCCCCAGGCCCAGGGGGCTATTTTAAACATCATCAAATACATGGCCCTCTGGATTTAATTTAGCGCAGACTCAAATCCTGAATCCAGAGGGCCATGTCAAGTATGTATCATCTACAAATGATCTATATCTACTCTGTCGAGATTTCGGATATTAATTTTACTTTATTTTAATTGGGAGATTGATAAGGTTCATCACTTGATATATCATATTTTCATTTATTTACTACTCTAGTTCTAACTACATACTGTTGATCTGTTCATCAATCATCAGGCTCATCTTTTATCATCTATGTACGTTTTTGTCTTTTTCCATTTTTCTTCTTCAAATAAAGCACACCAGAGGCAGGCAAGTACATAGCGTCGCAGACTGCAGAAGTGCAGAGATGCAGACTTGCCTTCTCGACACTCGACTCTCGTACGGTCATGAATTTCTTTCTAGCCGTATTTTTTTAATAAAACAAAACATTTCTGATACCACAAGGAACTAAATATCTGTGGCGAAACATTTACCGATTTCGATGACAACATGAACATGAGTATACTGAATTGACTTCACGAATGTGGTGTATCGATCCAACAGACCAACACACTAGTCTACATATATAAAGGAATGCCCTGTCAGGCGACCAACACGTTGGAAAATGAAAGGTTTCTGCAAGCGCTATGGGGTACAGATCGTGTCAAGACAATATGTAACAAATACTTCCCGGTTCGAATTGGCGGTAAGGCATAGAAAGGGTACGTGAGTTGCGTCGCAACGATTTGGTTTATTATTATTAAAAGTGCTATCACCTACTGATAAGTTTAGATCCTATGTGTGCGTGGACTTCATAAAAACACAAAGTGCTCTGCAGGGGAAGTGATACTGGGCGACCCGTTACAATACTGAGGACTTGAGGTAACTAGGCATGGTGTCAGTGGAGCGCATAGTACATTGTTATACACCGCATTTATTTCGCACCAAAACCTAGGTAAACGGGAGTGATGGATTCTTCTTCCACCATGAAAACCACCTGTCCATTGTGGGTTCCCCGTGCCAGGCGAAATCTGCAAGTTGGATGATATGGGGGAAATGAGTAATCCACTTCGGGATAGTATGCAGACTCAGCTTACATACGACGGTCAGAGTGACAAGAATGAAAAACGGCATGGAATGGCGCTTAAAGACTACATCGCAGACGGGATAAAAGGAAAAAAACAAACACTGTCTATAAACTTTAAAACTATTAAGACTTTGCCAACCTGATAACGCGCACGCATATTCTACGGCATTGTTAAGATTTTTCAACTAATCTGTACCGATATACATACACAGGTATGTATACCTTCATAGAATAATATACTTACAAAAGTATGTATACCTTCTATATATACAAAAGTATGTATACCTTCATAGACTAATAGACATGCAAAAGTATGTATACCTTCGTAGATTGATATAGATACAAAAGTATGCTTACCTACTTACATAAAAAAGTATGCACACCTTCATAGGATAATATAGATACAAAAGTATATATACCTACATAGGATAATATAGATACACAAAAGTATGTATATTTCATAGAATAATATAGATACAAGAGTATGTATACCTTCATACACCAATATAGATACACAGGTATGTATACCTTCATAGAATAATATAGATACAAAAGTATGTATACCTTCATAGGATGATATACATACACAAAGTATGTATACCTTCATAGAATAATTTAGATACACAAAGTATGTATACTTTCATAGATTAATATAGATATACAAAAGTATGTATATAGTTTCATAGAGTAATATACATACACAAAAGTATATATACCTTCATAGAATAATATACATACACAAAAGTATGTATACTTTCATAGGACAATATACATACACAAAAGTATGTATACTTTCATAGACTAATATACATACAAAAGTATGTATACCTTCATAGAATAAAATACATACAAAAGTATGTATACCTTTTATACATACAAAAGTATGTATACCTTCATAGACAAATATGCATACACAAGAGTATGTATACCGTCATAGACTAATAGCTATATTTATCCTACAACGCCTTTCCTTGAGATACAAAGAGATACATAGATATACGAAAGATACTTTTTTTATCACACGTATACATAAACAAACAATACGTATACGCTGTACACGAACGTACTGGACAACAGCGCAGTTTTCCATCTTCTTCGTTGCAGCAAAATGAAGGGACCTGCAATGATTCAGATACGAGCGTATGAGTATGATGTTTAAGATATTGCAAGCATAGAATGCACGCAAAACAGTGTGTTTCCCTCGAAAGTCTATTTAGTGATTCGGTGACGCGTCGATGCTGTAACCTACACGTTACCTGTAGTAGATCCAGAAAGCTCGAGCTACAAGAACTAACAGGCGAATAAAGTATGTCTTGTGATGTAAACATCTGTATCCCACTATTAGCGGATTGTCTGCTACCACAGCATCCAATCCTGCGGAACACAGTGTCTCTGCATACACGTGTTGATGTAACTGTGCGTTACACCGTAGAGAAATATTGTCGGCACAACAACAATGCTTTAATACAAAACGTACATAGGAATACATAACATAAACTTACAACTATTAAAAGTATATGTCCTTTCAGTTAACTATTTGTGTACCGGCTCCCGCCTGCGGTCGTCTCAGCTGCAATCACAACTCAGATTCGTTGATCGTAAATCAGGTGAACGTATCCGCACGTACGTACATATATAGACACAGTTGTAAATCATGTACATATGCGTATATTGCCTCTATTGGATAAGAGCCTTTGATAATCGCGTACATAAACATGACCCAAATGTCCGCCCGCTACGATAACTGTCTCTTCTGAGCACTCAAAGCATTTTTTTTTGGCAAGTACGTCGATACGACGGAGATTGCAACTCGGCTGCACACATACGGCAACGAAGTCAAGAAACACACACATACAAAAACACAGGAATACAAAAATATATACACACGCGGATAAGTGCGCGTGATCGTGCACACACATACCCCCTGGGGAGGAAAGCCTTGAAGAACTCACGCCCATACAGCGAGTGTCCACCCGCCACAATGACTGTGTCTTCTGAGCGCTCGAAGCACCACTCGGCAAACTCGTTCATGCGCATGAGACCGTTGCTGGCGTCGGGGACTTTAGTACCGAAATTTGATGTGACATCGTAGCAAGTCTCGGGACTGTATCCTTTCCATAAGAAGTCACCAAGGCCATGCATATCAGGCACCTAAGACATGATGGAGTATGATAACAGAAAAAAAGAAGAAGAAAAACAATGCTCAAGGGAAGGGAGGTACGGCAAACTATAAATGAGTATCGGTATATGACATGTGGTTGGGGTCTTGTAGTGTGTACAGTAGCGCATGTCAGACCAGACGCCATTGGAATTCGACGTACGAAGGTACAACGCCCGAGCGAAGCATGCTTCAAACACACGGATTGACATAAAACTACAAGGCTGTGCAGAGTGCTAGCATGCATGCAAAGTGTCGAGATGTTGTGGCGAGCAGCAGAGTGCGAGGAAAGCGTTCACAAGAACGTTTTGCGCCGGGTGACTTTATAGTAAGGGATGGACGCAAGTAGACCGACCAACTAAGTCTTAAGTGTGCTGGCTTAGATATCGTGGTTACGTACCCACGAGTCAGTAATACATATACCGTAGCCACCCGTGCCGTTCCACATTACATCGGGTCTAGCCGGTCTACCAATTAGAGGCTAAGGCATATTTGGGGTAAGCGTTGATTAGATACCTGAAAAGGCCCTGCCGACTCCAATTCGTTTGGGGATCAAACGAATCGTGGCATATGGCACGGGAGCTCAATTCGTAGCCTCAGATAAATCATCTACAATTACGCGCAGAAAAGTTGCATTTGCCGCAAACACCCTCCTTCGCAGACAAATGAACATAGACCTACATGCGAAGCCATCGTCAATCAAACCCTACCTTATGTGGCAGCGCAAGTGCAATGGTATCCACATTCCGGGATATTTCCTGGAGGCATGATAACATATGTATCTTCTCGCCTGTACGTTGTATACGATCTCGCAACCCCAAGGTAGCCGTGGCAATCGCTCGTCGCAGATTTGAGCACACCAGCACCGACTTGTGAGAAGGTCCATCCAAATCACCGTTCACAAGCTTACGACCCTCCTCAGCGATAGTCTGAAGAAAGACAGATGAGGTGAGTGAGAGATCAGCTATCTTTTATAACGGATAAGGGAGCACGTGTATATTAATCTGAAAGTATAGAAACATAAAACACAAGATATATATAAA